ATTTGTTCTCACCTTGTCTTCTTCCTTCCTCTGCTTAAGTGGCTTGACCTCTCGAAAATAAAACCCACCGACTCATTGCACCGCAGAAACATCGCTGTTCAGACGTGTTGTGAGTTGGGTCGTGAATGAAGTGTCTGTCTTTCCTCATACCATCGACGTAGTCAACGTGCATGGCAAAACGAACTGTCGTAAACCTAAATGTAATGTTTCCTAAAGTTTGAATGAAACATTTTTACTGACATTTGAAAATACATAAAATCAATAGTTCCGTGATTATCACTGTGCAAAATAATTTCAGCATAAGTACTGTTCATTCGCGTACATGCAAATGTTACGCGCTCAAAAAAATGGGCTTTTAAACAAAAATCCGGACAGCCAGAGACAAACTCGCACTTGCTCCATTATAGTATTGATGATGATTCGAGGAGTGTTTATACAGCCTGTGGAGGAGGCTCGTGAAGGATGTCGCTACTGGGCAGTTGGAGGCAGTCGCCCTCCAGCAGAGGAGCGACGCTCACAACAACGAGTGAAGCGCCGGGCAGATAAAATGCAGCAAAGTGGCACAGTGGGGGGGGGGGGGGGGGGGGGGGGGGGTACAGCTGGTGGTGCATCTATCGGTCATCTCAGTCAGCCGACCCATAGTACCTGCTGGGTCTGTCCCGAGACCTCCTGCCAGCAGCGAGCCTTTGACACTTCACGTGGCGGCCTCAAAGTGCACCTAGCCTGGCACAGGCGCTGTGGTGAAGCCATCGTCACTTAGTGGCGTATGGCGGGGTATTGGTGTTGGTTTATATAATGAGGCAATCTGCCAGCCAGGTGAAACGGAAGTTCAAGTAATTAATTATATTACAATTATCAATTATGTGACGGTGCATGAGTGTGCTGTGAAATATCCCAATGTTCAAGGATATTCGTAATTTCAGAAGTAGGTTCATATGCACATTGGTGTTATCGGAAGCCGTGTGACTAATGTAGCAGGTTTGACTTCACGTTACATGTATTTCCTAACAATCCGTTCTCCGAGCCGTGCTCAGGCTGTAGCTGTCGGCTCGGTTGAAGTTACACGGGTGTTTCTCTCCATCATATTTGGCTCGGGAATACTTTAGTCTTGAGTCAATAATGATGAACATTGCATAATGCTTGGACATTGTCAAAGTCAACCACATACCCCTCCTCCTCCTGCCTGCCATGTACCGACGTTTGTTTGGCCATTTTTACCGTTTCTTTGATTGTTCCTTGAACCGGGTGTTATTCATCTTACGTCCTGCACGACCAATATACTGTAACACTTATGCGGACTATTTACCAACACCCCCCCCACACACACACACAAAAGCTTACAAAGTGTAAAAGAAAGCTTAAGCAAGAACGAGCCGCTTATTAAATACTGGAGGAGATTACAAATCGGAAGGATTTTTTTTACAGCGTGCTTAAGTAATGCCCAATGCTCCTCTTATGTAGAATTACTCGATCGTTCTGTAAAGTTGTGGCTGAGGTTGCTTTATTCCCAAGAGGATAAGGAAATGTGTGACTCATCAGGTCCATTCTTTGTAACTGGATGTTGTGGAAAATCGACAGTTAGTCATCAGCACAGCATTGCTCAGATAAGGAGCATAAATACCACCTCATTTGACGTTTCCCCCCCCCCCCCCCCTGCTAATTCATCAGTGATTAATGGGACAGGCGCATTTCATTTTCGGTCCTATTGTATTTCTTTTCAATGGGAGGTTGTATTATTTGAGTGTGTAAATCACTTAACGGTTCAATGCAAAGTGTTTTATTTAAAACTTGTAGTCTTCACGTCTGCTCGCCAACTCGGGTGTTTTGTCCTGGTGCCACTGTGATGAGTGTAATTGTATTAAATGTGCAGTGCCACCAGAGTTTAAGTATTCAGCGTCGTGATATCGATACTACAATTTCCACTCCTTGGTATTGTTCTGTTATGAGGCAGGTTGTAATTCATCTCATGATTGTTAAATTGCTGAAGTCTTGCATGCAAATTGATGTGCAAAAGCAGCAAAATGGGACCTCTTTGCCAGTAAATGTGCCTTTACTGCTGTCCACCACCATACATTTATATGTCCCTTATCTAATTTATGTAAGAATACAATGGATTCATATTCTTTGGGTCTTTCGGTAAAGTCACGTAGATAGAACAATAAAATAATAATCCGATTGCCTGCGTTGCGATCGAAACGTCGTGATATTTTTTGTAATTTTTTATTCACTTTATTTTCATTTGTGTAGTTTTATTGTTCTATCTACGTGATTCATATTCTTGGGTCTTTCGGTAAAGTCACGTGACAAAGAATATGAATTCCTGCAGTCACGAAAGCTTTAAGTTAATACAATGGATTGTTTAAGGTGTATTGAATGTTATATAACCCGTATGAGACTATGTATGGAGCATGTTCACCTCAAAGTTGAAAACACATAATATGAAGCCTACTTTGCGTGCAATTTTTAAATGGGTAAGCTGTGCCAAATGCCAAATTGTGTGCACATTGCAGTGCAATTTCACGTAGTAAGTTGTCACTCAAGAGAAAATAAAACCCATTCGCCCCTCGATTTAGAAGCTAATCTCTGGACAGTAAAAGCATTTGTTTGATCATAAACTAGCGTTATTCCTTTTACCATTTTTTGACACATCGCAGACATCACACGGTAAAAGTTAAAATGAAGGGGATTTCAGTGAAAACATTCGAAGGCTCTGTAACGTCTGAAACGAGTCCTAAGGGGGCATTGTACTGTATGGCTTTTCCCCTTGATCCACCGCGCACTGAAGAATTACAGGCCACTCGCGGGCCCCGTTGTATAAACAGGGCAGCAGTGCCGCCAGTCGAGACTCGTGCGTCTTTTTCTCCCGTCGTTTTCCTCTGCTTTGCTTTGCGTGTCGAGGCCACGGTCAGGCTTGTGCGGTGGCGGTGCGGGTTGGTCGGGTGCAGCTGCTGCTCCCTCCTCTCCCCACCCCAAAGTTGGCCCAACCCAACGTTTTGCCCTTGGTCTTTATTTATTTATTTCAGTTTCCAAAATAAACGTGCGAGGCAGCGTCATTGGGTACCACGTGCCCGGCCAACCCGGCCCAGAGCTTGCGTGCCAGGGACCTTTAGAAATTACACGACCACACTCTCTCTCTCCGTCTGCCCTCCGCTGATCAATGTGCGTTCATATTTGGCGGCATGATCATTCTGGGGAGACATTGTAGAATGATGTTACGACCTTTACTTTATTGATGCTGTTTACAATTTACAGGACGACATTGGGGCTATGCAGTTATCTTGAACATTTGTCTGAATAATAAAATGGATAAGGTGTAGCCCCTACAATTGCTTGCTCACACCACTGCTGCTAGAAAGACCTCCGCTAGAAGAGGCTCTTAGAGAGTGTTTTGGCCTACTCTTCCACGCTGGCTTCACATCTTGGAATAGGTGGGAGTACCCACACTTTACCTTATCATGCTGTGGTGCACGCATTTATGCTGCTGGATGGACAGAGGCGAGACATTTAAGAAGCCTGCCCAAGTGTTTTGACTGTCGTGCTGATCAATCAAACGAACTGGCGGAATTCTCTTGGGTTGCAAGTCCAGTGTGCTGTGTCCAATACACAACAGTTGCATCCCGTGCCTGCATCTCTGTCCACGTTCATCTGCCAATAGCTCACGCGTGACCCCTACCGGCCATACGAACAAAACGTGGGGATCATTCTTGATTTGAAGCTTTCGTGACTGCAGGAATCCATACTCTTTGGTTCTTTCGGTAAAGTCGTTCCGGGCGCAACACAAGCGTCCGTCGCTTGCGTTGCGCCCGGAACGTCGTGATTTATTTCATTTTATACCCACGTGACTTTACCGAAAGAACCAAAGAGTGTGGGGGATCATTCTTACAGGGTAGTCCAGATGTCCTGTGACCCCATTTCATTTAAAGCTCTAAAACGTAATATGTTTTAAGTAGGCTTTATTTAAAATGTAAAGGAGAAACACGTTAGGGGTCAATTAATTGGGGGGGGGGGGGTGGTCACAAGGCATCTGGACCACCCTGGACTTTGGAACAAATTAATCTGAGATGATTTTCATTGGCAGCGGTGCACAAGCACAATTAACAAAACAATTAAGCGAATCTGGCAACAATACTCTCTTAAAAATATAAAAAAATATATAGTAGGTGATGTTTCAGGCAAAGGCCCTTATACTTGACATCGCTGATATTCTACACAGCACAACAATTCCACTCTGTAGACTTGTACAGCATGAATAATTCAATCCTATCATGTGCAATTCATTGGTTGTTGTTCATAATAATAATTAATGAGTGTGCATTGTATGCAACTCATTTAATTTCGAAGAGTTTTGCTACTGGTGGAAATAGTTTATTTGTGCTTCATAAGCGATGTGCTTCATTGACCTGGCGCAACCGCTGTAATCTCCGATTTTAAACGGTTTGTTTGCCTTTCTAAATGGAGCCTAAATCCACATTCGTTGCGATTTATTATTGCTGATGTGAGGATGCTATGGAAATCAGTTTTGCTCATTGCGCACCTGTTATTTTTGCCACGTTTTATTCATGTGACGGATTCACAAAGCGTGTTTTTCTTCGAACATTATCGAGCTGCATTCTGTAATATCCTCTTAGGTATTTCTTCACTTGGGGAAAAGGGCGGTGGCGCAGTGGTTAGCATGCTTCACTTTGAACCGGGGGAGACAAGTTGGATGCCCATTCACGGTTCACATCAGTGGCGAGCGATATCTAAATCGGTCCCGTGTTCCCTCCTCAACCTACACCGACCAACATTGACCAGCCTGATGAAGTCTAGGCAAATAAGCCCCATGTCTGACATGGCACGAGGAGGCTCACCTTTAAGTAGTGGAATTGCAAGAAATTGTTTACGATTTGATTCCTTCCGCTGTAAATTGTGCGCGTTAAAATATTCAATTGACGTGCAAGTATTTACTCGTGTCGCATTTTGTATTTCTTATGTTTTTTAAATTCTTCTGTCTGTTGCAGGTTGAAAACATTGACGCTTGTCTGAGCTTCTTGGCATCTAAAGGAGTGAATATACAGGGTCTGTCTTCTGAAGGTAAACGTGCACACGAAATATATAATTCGCACACAGTGCCAGGGCATAAAATGTGATGACCAGTGAAGGTTTCCACAGTTTGAATATATGTGCGCTACTTCATAAAGAATTCAGGAAGTGTTTAATCCAGAACGCCAATAGTTTTTTTATGTCTAGCTGAGTGATTAAAACACATTGAAAAGAATTTAAGCACTTTAACGTGAAGTACTGTACATACATTGCGTTTTTTTTGCCCATACTGTAAATGGTGTGTCTCTCTATTTAGCCACATACACAAAATTATGTCTCAGTGGGGACACAGGCCTTCTCCTTTTGAGGAATTCACACATTTACAGAACAACACCAGGCTCAATGAGCAGCAAGCTTAGATTTACGGATGAGTGAAATCGAAAATTACATATTATTTACGAAGAGTACATTTTTATTTTAAATATAAACAAATACCTTTAAAACCCATTATTTTAAGGGAACAATAATTTTACTCCACTCTAACTCATTGGCATGATGAAAATGTTTCTGAGTTTGATTCCCGGCCAAGGCAAACTCACATCAGTGGCGAGTGACATCCGAATTGGATCTGGTCCCCCACCTTTCACCAATCCCCACTGGCCAGCATGGTCAAGTATATTAAATCAACTCCCATGACCGACATGGTATAAGTAGGTCTTCATCCATCAGTGGACTGAAATGGGCCTGAATATGTTCCAACTTGCAAACAATCGGTACATGGATTCTAGATTTGAAGCTTTCGTGACTGCAAGGATCCATACTCTTTGGTTCTATTCGGTAAAGTCACGTAGGTAAAAAATAAAATAACAAAAATCACGACGTTTCCTCCCACACAGCTTAAAGGACGCGACCTGGGCTTGGCTGTTTTCACTCCAACGCTGTCCTCATGACAGCACGGTCCCTTCACCTGATGAAGGTCACTTGTGTTGTGGCCGAAACGTCGGGATTTTTGTTATTTTATTTTTTTACCTACGTGACTTTTACCGAATAGAACCAAAGAGTATAATCGGTACATGGGTCGAACAACTATCACGAAATGTGACGTGTACTCTTCATCATTACTGCAGCGCGTAACACTGGGTGTTCACCATTACTGCGTGCATCAGCGAGCTATTTATATGAAGTGTAGCTGCAACAGCGCAACTTTAAAGCGTACTGTATTTCCACTGTAAGCCATGACTAAAGCATGTCTGCTCCCAGGCAGCGCGTGGCTCTCGTCCTGTGCGTGAATGGATCGGTGTGGTGTGTGCGGTATCGTATGCCTGCAACGGGATCCTTTAAGCTACCGCTTCATCGACCTTGGATGCTCTCAAGGTTTTTCCCATGGTGCCCTTCAGACAATGAAATAAATGCTGCACTGAGTAAGGGGAGAGTGGACGGAAGGCTTGTTGCAGCTAATGGACCGTGAATAGGTTGCGGAGTGAGAAACCGCGAGAGAGAGAGAGAGGGCTCAGCCGTACAAGACTGCCTTATTAAGTGTTAAATTAATAAATAATGTGCGGTGCTATGGCTTGCTTATCCCACTCTGGCAGAAGGTCTCTACCAGAAGGAGGTCTGGATGGTATTTGGCCTACTCTTCCACGCTGGACAGACATCTTGGCAGCGGTGGCAGTACCCACACTTTACCCCCTACCACACGTTGTGGCCTGTCGACCAACTTTGAGTGCTCGTTGGATAGAGGCCAGGGGGGATTTAAGAAACTTGACCCCATTGTTCCAACTGCCTCGCGCAGGAGGTGCATCTGGCGACCTGTAGATTGTAGGTCGAGCGTGTGCCTACCGTAACGCCATGGCAGCATCCCTCTGATTAGTGTACATTCAATGCATAAAACGCGTGAGTATAATTTTAATAGCCTACATATAATGTTCATTATTGATGGAGCGAAAGACGCACGTGTGCAGTTGGGGTCGTACGTTAAGGATGCAATTAAACGCCTGGCTACCAATACCAATTGGCGGCGTGACATTTTAGCGCACCAACAAAAGTGGCTGCCTGCTGTTCATGCCCGTTAAGTGGTGCAAGTGTCTTTTAAAAATGTTTGTGTGCCAAGGCGTTACTGCAGCAGTGTCTGGGTACCTCAGCATGCACTCTGAAAGTGAATACTAATGTGAAATAAGAATGCCAGAGTAAATTTGAGCAAATCCTTACTTAATGCGCAGAGCTGGAATGAACAAAAACCCGCTTGCAAGGGAAAGCGACACACGCCCAGGTGCAGGCTGTAATTGTAACGGCACTTTAATCAACTAGTTGTCCAAATGAATGCAGTTGACTTTGTTGTGGTGTTGAGATAGCTGTTTGTTCCGCGAGATCCTGCTGCTGTCAGCTGGTGGCTGCGGCACGTAAAGGGAGCATGTTAAAAAAGTTACACAGATGAGATGGTTTCTGACATTTCCCACCCTCCCCAAAAATAATAATAATAATAGATCAACCATCGGATACATCCAGCATGCCCGGACAGGCTTTGTTAATCCAAAATAAGTCACCAATCGGGGTCGTTGGGTCGTGAACTATTAAGTCGTTAAATTGACACGCACAGGAGTGTGAGAAATGAAACCTGCAAGGGAATTGCAGATTGCAACAAAATGGTTTCTATATTTTAAGTCAAAATGCTTCGTAAGAAATATTGCTTCCACAAATAAGCGGGAATCAGAAGTCCGGGTGATTCATTTATAGATACCCGAATGATATCTTCTCAGTTGAACGTTGTAAGTAAATCAGAACAGCTATGTTGGACAAGTGTATTGGGAGAGTGTTAAACGGTTTAACGAGTGTATTTCGATCAGTAGTAGACATGTTTGAATAAAAATGTCGTTTTTCTGCACAATATTTTCTCTTTCGATTTAAAGCTTTCGTGACTGCAAGGATTCATCTTCTTTGGTTCTTTCGGTAAAGTCACGTAGAATGAGAATAAATTAATAAATTAATAAAATAAAATAACACAATAAAATTCTCACGACGTTTCGGCCACTTGTGAAGAAGGCCACTTGTGTTGTGGCCGAAACGTCGTGAGTAATTTTATTGTGTTATTTTATTAATTTATTATTTTATTCTCATTCTACGTTACTTTACCGAAAGAACCAAAGAAGAATATTTTATCGCTTATTTTAATGGGGGTATCTATAAGTGGATCGCCATGTATATGATATTAGACAACGAAATGGATGAGGGCGGGGATGTTGGGGGGGGGGACCTTCAATGAGAGTCGCTGCTCTCTTTTAAGGGCAGCAACCGCAGCTTCAGCCATAATGAGCCCAGGAATGCTCGGGGTTGTGCTGGATTAACCCTTTCTCATTCCGAGACGTCTGCAAGTCGCAGGGTGGGTGGGTGTCCCGTTCACCGCTGAATCTTGGAACGCGCAAGTAGCTCGGCGGTCATTTTATTTGGGGAGGCGTAGCGCCGTTGTTCTTCAAGAAATTGTACTCACCGCAGAGATCTGTAGCGACACGACCGCACTCTAGGATAGCTGGCGCCAAACTGTGCCGCACGCCCTCCCGCGTGGCCTTCTTCTGATTTCGTTCCGATGACGACGTGTACAACACAAGCAAAGGAATGCACTGCCTTGGTTATCATTACATTCACCACTGCCCATGCCTTTTTCTATATCTAGACACGTTTTTTTTTTAAACAATCGCTTGCATCAAGTAAAGTACGTAAAGAGCAGCCTCCGGTTACTTTTTTAGCCAGTTGACAATCGACTAGGTGTGAAAACAATCGCGTGCAGGTGATGTTAAGATGAATGTGATATCACTCAGCCTTGAGTTTATATCTTCAGCAGTGACATTCCTGGACTAAGCTCCAGAAGCAGATATATTTTTTTGTTATATTTTAGCCGATTGTATCTACAATTGCGTTGTATTTTTGTTCACGCTTCTTGAAACGAATGAACGTGCTGTTGTTGTGCAATGTAAGATACAGCTCAGGAAGAGAATTCCTCCAGATATTGACGTCACAGTGTCCCTTGTTGACCTGCCACCTTCCTTTTGAAGAAAGCCAGCTCTCCCCCAGGGTATAAATGGTACAACCAACTCATTATTTTCTTGAAAGTGTTTACGGAAATTTCTCTCCGAAAGAGTTTTATTATTTTACGAGAGCCATTTTTTGAAGGATAGATTTTGTGTTGGTCTCCCCCGTTCATCAATCAAGTTGATTTTATATAATAAAAATAAAATCTAAAAGCAAATTAAGTAAACAAAAAAACACCCACCTCCTTTCCAAATTTACACTGACTATTCTTTACATTTTAACTGTTTTTCCTAGACTGGCTTCCTTCTTTTGTAAATTATAAAGGTGCAGTGAGCAGGTGGTACTGAGGTTAGCTGCACCAGACTACTATAAATAATACCTAGACTTAGCATAAAAAGCAAATATAAATTGTTTTTGGGCAGCTCATTTGTCACACTGTGCTTTTAAAGTGAGCACAGCAGAATGAAGCCATTTAACAAAAAGGATAATGCTAGATATGACCTGCAGTGTTAACTCATAAGCAATAGATTGTAACGCAACTAATGAATGAATGCACAACAAGTATGCATGAAAGCTTAGAGGTTTCCTGATTGTAGTAACAAGAAAAGTTATTCTGATAGTGATTGGTAAAAAAACTTTAGGCTGTATCTTTTTCCTAGATGTTGTATTAAGGGAATGTTTCAGCAAGTGCTTGATGTAATATGTGCTTTATAAAGAGATGGCGCCTTGAAGTAGATGGACAAGGATTGATGGGGTTTGAGGCTATCAGCTTAAGGAGCTGGGAGTCATTTCCAAAAGTGTGCATGGCTCTCGTCAGTAATTGAGGATGAGCTTAGTTGAGATCCTGATGAGAAATGTTCTTTTTTGAAAAAAAAAAGATTCTGTCCATCCAGCAGCAGTATTCATGGTTACTGCACAGTAGATCGGCAGGCCACGTGTAGTGGGGTAAAATGTGGGTACTCCAACCTATTCCGAGACGTCTGTCTGGCCGGCTTGGAAGAGTAGGCCACACATCCTTCAGAGGAGCTCTCCAGAGCTCCCACTTAGGGAAGGCAGTGGTGTGAGCAGGAAATTGCAAGGCTACATCTTTATTTGTTTTACCTTTAGATAAAGGCTAGTGAGTGTAATTTTTAAACATTAACTTGGAATTGTAATCACGTGCATTTCCCAGCAGTTTGTTAATCATTGTTACTGCCAGGGGCTCACGTTGGTTTAAAAAAAAAGATGAAAAAAAATCTCTTTTTTTTTCGAGGAAAAATAAACAAAAATGGTTATGCCACAATTACCTTTTCTTATAATTGACAATTATTTTTATTTCACCAAATGGCGATAAACATTTGTTAATATATGTAAATGTATTCATACTTACACAATTGTGCTTGCTTCATGCATGGATGTGTGTTGATGTGCATCATCATTACCATGGTCAGCCATGGTCAATCGACTGTTGGATGAAGACCTTCCCCAGTTGATGCCACCTCTCACAGTCCTTCAATCTAACAATCCACGTAGCCCTTGCACGCGAGCCGATTTCATTGCTTCGTCTCCTCTTGGCTGGGCACGTTTCATCCCGTGGCTACCACACTGTCATTATGCTGTTGTGCATTGATGTGTTAGAGTGTATTATTTCATTTACGAACAATGGCTAAAATATTTACATTTTGTGTGGATTGGTGAAATGGGTGTAGTTAGGCCAGTTTTAGATGCAGTGAGGGAAAATAGTATTTGATCCCCTGCTGATTTTGTACGTTCGCCCATTGACAAAGAAATGATCAGTCTATAATTTTAATGGTAGGTTTATTTGAACAGTGAGAGACAGAATAGCAACAAAAAATCCAGAAAAACGCATTTCAAAAATGTTATAAATTGATTTGCATTTTAATGAGGGAAATAAGTATTTGACCCCCTCTCAATCAGAAAGATGTCTGGCTCCCAGGTGTCTTTTATACAGGTAACGAGCTTAGATTAGGAGTACACTCTTAAAGGGAGTGCTCCTAATCTCAGCTTGTTACCTGTATAAAAGACACCTGTCCACAGAAGTTTGCCAATGAACATCTGAATGATTCAGAGGACAACTGGGTGAAAGTGTTGTGGTCAGATGAGACCAAAATGGAGCTCTTTGGCATCAACTCAACTCGCCGTGTTTGGAGGAGGAGGAATGCTGCCTGTGACCCCAAGAACACCATCTCCACCATCAAACATGGAGGTGGAAACATTATGCTTTGGGGGTGTTTTTCTGCTAAGGGGACAGGACAACGTCACCGCATCAAAGGGACGATGGATGGGGCTATGTACCGTCAAATCTTGGGTGAGAACCTCCTTCCCTCGGCCATGGCATTCAAGATGGATCGTGGATGGGTATTCCAGCATGACAATGACCCAAAACACACGGCCAAGGCAACAAAGGAGTGGCTCAAGAAGAAGCACATTAAAGTCCTGGAGTGGCCTAGCCAGTCTCCAGACCTCAATCCCATAGAAATTCTGTGGAGGGAGCTGAAGGTTCGAGTTGCCAAACGTCAGCCTTGAAACCTTAATGACTTGGAGAAGTTCTGCAAAGAGGAGTGGGACAAAATCCCTCCTGAGATGTGTGCCAACCTGGTGGCCAACTACAAGAAACGTCTGACCTCTGTGATTGCCAACAACGGTTTTGCCACCAAGTACTAAGTCATGTTTTGCAGAGGGGTCAAATACTTATTTCCCTCATTAAAATGCAAATCAATTTCTAACATTTTTGACATGCGTTTTTCTAGATTTTGTTGTTGTTGTTATTCTGTCCCTCACTGTTCAAATAAACCTACCATTAAAATTATAGACTGATCATTTCTTTGTCAGTGGGCAAACGTACAAAATCAGCAGGGGATCAAATACTTTTTTCCCTCACTGTATCACTTTCCACTGATGTTAGCCATGGTCAGGAATCTAACTTGGTTCGCCAGGTTCATAGTGCGGTGCACTAATCGCTGCACTTGTGCGCGCTACCATTATTTTCAGTATGTTTTAAACCATTAAATTATATACCTCTGAATGTCTGAGTGTATCCCTCTAATAGAGGCCCTTCTATCACCAATTGTTTAAGAAAGCAATCGCAGGGGCTGTACCTTTATTTTTATCTTCATGAAACATAACGATGGAGCCTTGCCTTGACCGATTATCAGGACAAAAGGGGCTCTTTATTGACTTGATGAAAAAAAGGATACAAAAATATGACAATAATAGTTATGATCACGTTCAATTATATTCTACCCTGGCACTATTGTCATGCTTTTCTTTCCATCCCGCATGTTTGGACAGAAATCCGGAATGGAAATCTGAAGGCCATCTTAGGTCTCTTCTTCAGCCTGTCCCGGTACAAGCAGCAGCAGCAACAGGCCCAGAAACAACAACAACAGCAACATCAACAGCAGCAGCAACAGCAGCAGCAGCACCAGGCGGCTCAACAAAAACCACAACAAGACATGCAGTCCAGGTGAGAGAGTCATTGGCATGTAAGGGCTGCATAATGTCAAACCTTGCCTACAAACGTAGCACTCGTCATTGGGATTGTGTTTTGTCCTCTTGGACTGTTTATTTTATAATTTCCCATTGATGCATTATCATTCTCCCCTTATTTTGTGTTGAGACAACATTGTGCACATATGTATGTATTGTTATATATATAAATTTGTCACGGCACAAATGTTGATATATATATCAGTGGCATCGTGGAGGTATTATTAGGACAACATTTGTGCATTCTGCAGCCAAATACAATATTTGGAAACTTTAAATTACCTTCTTTTTAAGTTCGATTAAAATGACCTGCTCTTTATTTTTTGTCTGAGCTAACGTTGAGTTATAATTCCCATCTCACCTCCTGGCAATATTCACAGAAATACAATCTCAAAGCTCCAGAGTCACTGATATCACTCATAGCCAACCCAGCAGAGTAATTGGATCGTTGAGATTACAGGCAAAGAGAGATCAGGGGCAGGGCAGAGCAGAGCATCTGCTGCAAGGATAACCTGTCCCCAGGTGCACATACCCTGCACCACCTCCTGTGTGTCACTGCTTGAGGTGCCTCTCCGCAAGGTTAAATGTTGTTGAGTTTTTCAAAAAGTTTGCGGAAAAAATCATTTTAAAGTTGGACAACTGTAAGTTTAAAACTCGTGTAATCGATTTGACGCTGCCTTTGTCATCGGTCATTGAAGTGAAAGAATGTCCTCACTGCGGTGCTTGCTGGAATTTCTTTTTGCACGGAGAGAGCTGCCCCGGTGATGTGCACATCAATAACTTGTCCCTACCTCAGCGGCATATGACTGCCACGGGGATTTGTCATTGCCTAGAGAAAGCAGGTGCCTCCAGTTAACTGTCTACAGCTGCATACATTCATACATATCTTTGCACGCGTTCTTTTTTGCCATTTGTTATGCATTTATTCGATGTTATTTTCCAGTAAAATGTATTAAAGTGCGATTATTTCACGAGCCTGCTACGTGAACATCTTAGCTTTCTCAATTATGTGTCATGATAAACGCAGGATGCTATTTCTGTCGGAAATTGTTCAATTGTGCTGTTGCTGCAATTTCCAACCCACAGTTTATGCCAGTTCACCCGTCTTCATCTCGATGACATTATGACGAAAAAAGGCATCAGGGGTTGCAAACTGACAGCAAGTGTAATCATCATTTGAAAGATTGCTAATGTACCAGAGGCTCTCGATGGGCGATCTTGTTGTGAGCTCCGTTGCAATGAGTGCGGTATCCAGTAGCATGCAGACACTGGGAGGATTTGTTACAACGTTGATTAAATTCTGCTATAAATAGTAGGTTTTAGGTGAGCCACACGAAGAGGACTCTGTCTTCCCCTTTCTTGCACACGTGTGAACTGTGGAAAGGGTTAGCAACCCCTGTCTTGCGCGCATCTGAAGTATGAACGTGTGTGAGCTGTTTCCGTTGCCTTTGCTCTCTTGAGGTGCATGAGATGCTGACTACACAGTCGGTTTTTGGTGCTGAGTGCTGTGGATTGTTTTCTGTCTCATCTGCCCTCACCATCTGCCCCTGTTTGTCTCTCTCTCTCTCTTGGTTGTCTCTCCCCTCTCCCCGCAATGCAGTGCGCCAGGCAGGCACTCTGCTGTGGCCAAACATGCAGGGGCGACAGCCAGTCAGAAAAAGTCCTCTCGGTTAGCACCTGTGCTCTCTCCCTTTCCTCTCCTGTCCACCTTGCTTGTGCCACCTTGCCTCTCGTAAAGCATGCCAAAGCTTCAGTTGCTTCTTTCAGGCTGCACTGAACTCAGCTGCCAGTGTTTCGGCTTCTGCTGGAGTAGCGGAAGGAAGAACACGTTTAAAAAAAACGAAAAAAATAGAGCAATAATATCACTAAATGTTCATGCTATTTACATGGCCATCAATAAAACTTCCCCTGTCCTTGAACATTTTCTGAAATTCCCGGTAAAAATGTACAGTAAATTTCAACCAAGTAAAACAATGGCTGTTGTGAATTGCATGTTAAATGCAGCATTTAAATAGTACATATAAATAACTGCTTAACCTTCTGCATGTTTACTTAAAATGCAAGGCATGAGAATCACCTATAAGCTGTTGAATGGTTAATGCTTAATCCGAGCATGCGTCATGGTTAAACCAAAGGTCATGGCAAGCAGTGCTGTGGTGGAAGTCATTGCATAGGAAACTTCGAACATTTGCATGCTCCAATAGTACTATACCTTTTGAAACATTTGGAAATTAGAAAAACTAAAACTGTGAATTTTAATTTGTGATTGGAATTTATAATTATGAATGGCTGGAGCAGACAGGGTGACACATGCAGATCTACTTTGGCTTTTCCAACAACATGATGCACATTACCATCGTGTAAACGTGGAACTGTTTTCCTGGTGCTGTGAGCATGAACATACTTAATGCACCATGGAGTGATTAGCTGGTAAGTGAACACTTAATTGCGTTATTGAGAATATGGCCAAGCTGGGGCATGTCTTCTGTAGTTTGAGTTAATCATGCACCTTTGCATGCAGCTAAGGCTTGCACGATTATCGAGCAATATGTAGACAGGGAGCTTGTGGGTATTCTGAAAATCCTTCTAGCAACACGCAAAGTGTTTGAGAATGTTGAATGCTATAAGCATGCATTGCCTGCTTTTTGCATGTGAAAAAAATATACTGTTTACTCACTAAAATAATTATATGAATGTGCCTACATTTTTGTCTTTGTTATTATAATGTTTATGAGTATTGGACCACCTTGATCAACGCTTACAGTATGTATTGAATTGTACTGTATGTTGCCATCGTAAACACTGAATTCATTCACATACAATTTGAGATGGTAAAAAAACACTGGTTCATGTTTTTTCTATGATGTATTACATTGGTAAGTTAGGTCAAAGGTTTACCATTCGCAAAAATGTAGAAGGAATTCTTAAATATACTCAAAACATTTTTAACATTCTTGCTCCGGTGAATACATTTGACTTTCTTTGTGTTGTGTGTGCGTGTGTGCATGTTTGCATATGGGTAAAATCTGAGTAATGTTTTTATTTTCACGAACATTACGATTAAAATTATATTGTATTGCATTTAATAACGAAGGTATTAAAGAGACCTGTCAATTGATCAGTTAAAGCTAATGCTTGCGTAAAGGGGGCCTCTCTCGCTAGAGGGGGCTCAAGAGAGCCCCCGAGAGAGTATACGGCCTACCCTACCCTTCCACACAGGGTGATGAACAAATTACCCATTAGCAAGGGTGATGAACGATCACGGTGATCCATGTGAACGTTTTTTTGTTGCTGTGTTGAGTGTCTGGGTCCTGCAGTTGGATTTTGGCATAGCTGTACTCTGCAAACCTTCAATGCAGCCACGTGGTGGTAGCAAAATCAGATTATTCTAATCCTGTTTGTGGGTATAACACTGCTCAGACCTCGGGCTTAGGGACCTCTTAACTGTTAGAGTGGCTAAAAGAGGAAACAATGTGATTGGATTCTTACAAGCAGTAAATCTTAGAGGCCTGAGGGTCATTTCCTTGATCCTATGATCTATATAGGTCTTGTTTTATTGGATTTGTTGAATACAATTTATTGAGTGACAGAAAATCTTTTTATTTCACACGCCAAAATAATTGTTTCATTGTTTTTTCCCCCCATTTGTTGGACTGCATGCATCCATTAAACTCTAAAAATTGCAGAATTACGTGTTTCAATAGGATTTGCAATTCATCGTGTTTTTAAGTATTTCTTTAAAAAAATATTGTAAATAAGCATTTTCCTTCAATCAGTGAGACACTCTAAAGTCATGCCTGTCTCCGAGCTCGATATACAATGTATATATATTTATGATACTCCTGATCAGAGATTTAGTCCCAGCACTTTATCCAACTTTGAGTGTCTGGCCTGCACCGTACTTGACCCCAGAGCTTGTTAGGAAAATGAACTGGTCCGCTAACCTTTTTAGCGAGTACTTATGATAATAAAGCTGAGAATTTCTTTTCAAATCAATCAACAGTGGGAGGACGGGTCGTTGTTAGTGTCCACGCTGAAAATATCATGTTGGGAAAAGGCTTTTGCGCAAAACGAATTGTATGCCACGCCAGAGCGATGAACTGTCGATGGAGCAGGAAGCTCCATCATTAGAAAATCCCCAATGAAGCAGTTATCTTAGATTGGATAGGGGAAGTCTCAGCTATTAACCCTTAACCTGGCTTTGTCAACCCAATAAAAAAACATCCCTAATGACGCTATCGTTGATTAATTTGAAGCTAATAGCCACTGGGAAAGTATGTCGTTAATAATTTTAATATCTTTTTGCAGATTTGTTTCTAATATTTTATTTTACTCATGCTTCACGACGGTGGTTCGAGCCAAAATAAAATTTTCCATTTTTTAAGTAGTCCATAACTATGGTAATTGATTCTGTAATTTACATGTAAATATGACAATTCTATCTTATTTAAATGTATTTGGTCTGCTTCAAATTGTGAACTAGAGGGGGGGGGGGGGACACTACTGCAAGGGTGTTGAATGCATGCCATCTCCCAAACCAGAACCCATGGTCTGTCAAGAAATATGCGTGGTCAGATTCAACAAAAGCACTGAAAAGACAGCGATTAACTCATTTGTATTCTGGATTGACGGAGGTCCCACATTAATAGCAGATACTCCATTTGAAGGAGTGTTTCTCTTCTTCCCATTTTAATATTAATTCGTGAGTTGGACTGAAGCTATTAAATGCGTTGTTCATTTTTCACTTGTCCATTCCGGGGGCCTGACCCCCAGATCATAGAATTGCTGTGCCAGCACACTGACATGGTATGTGTGACCCCTAGGGCTCCTTAAGGATTTGGGTTACATCATATATAGATTATAAGCCTTACAAAATGAGTATAACATAACTATTATGACTGAAATAAAATAACATAAATCGACTAAAACTTGAACACTGATTATGCATGCCTAAGTGCATATATGGAATAATAATAATAATAAAGAATGTAACATATACAATAGTTACATTCAACATATGATCCTTATCCTTGACACTATGAGCCATCACTCCTATTATCCGTTGGAGCTTTTGGGTTATATTATCTGTACGCTTAATCCTATTATCTGTGATTATCCGCTTAATTTTTCTCAGAAAAGTGGTGTCAATTTACGTATGACAGCGCAGATAATAAGATCCGTGATGCTCGCCCCCTTCACATCACCGCGACGGATAAGAGGAGTTCTACTTCACCGTTTTGAAGGAAACATGTTTACAAGTGTCACTATGCCGATACAAAATTGCTTCCAACAACCCTTACTGTAGTAATGTGCTTGAACGAAACCCAAGGTAAAACTACAATTATCTGTTACTATCAATATCATTTTCCCTATGACCTGATTGTCAACGTGCGTTAAACAAGTCGTCACCTAGTACGTGCCAGTTGAGCTTTCTGGTCGAGAGCAGTTCTCCATTGGTGCCTGCAGGTTGGCTAATAATGAATGCTACACACCCAAGCACTCTCACCTTCTCAAGGGCAATTTCCCCTGTCTGCAGAAACATTGGCCTGCCTTGATTACAACCAGTGTCTCAGTCTCTAAAAACATTGCATCGATGGTTGATCGTGTAGGCGTCGTGTACGAGTGAAGTTCATGTGTGCTACAAAAATGTACGTATAGATGTCATATGTACGTCTGTGCACACGTCTCTTTTTAATTGTGTATGTATCGTCTTTGCCTTTGATTAAAGCACTAGAATGTACCCAATATTGTCAAATCTTAGGAAAGCTAAGCAGATCGGAGCCTGGATGGGCGATCATCATGAATATCAGGTATTATAGGTTGCGAGGCTACATGGTCGGCAGCAGAGGGTAGTGCAGCAAAATCCTTTGTTGCACTGTACTTATTCAGTATATATATGCTCCTTTCTTTTGGAAAAGTGTACTGACAGGTGTGGCGAAGTATGGTTAAATAACCCCCACAATCTGCACGGTGTTGGGAGACCTAATCCAGCTGTGGATTTATACGAAGATTTGTATACGTACATCACGTGTGTATAGCAATATTGAAAATTTTCTAAAATGTATTTGTATGAAACAAATTCGTTTGGTACTTTATTTTTGTAATGCCTGATGTAATGTTTGTTACCATAGTTACAGTTAACTGCGATCAAATTTTCTTCCCAAATTGTTTATCCTGTAACAGAAAACAGGATGTTATAAACTATGGTGTCAGTGGAGACGCAAGGCATAAGCAAACTTGTAAGCAAAAGTCTTAAGTAGCTCAGGGTCCCCCGAATCCATGGATGCAGAAAATATCAGCTCAAATTCAGATCTTAACGAACATACATAGTCGATCAACATAGTATTCATTTATCTCATTTCTGTCTTGCATGGAGCTCTCTTCTTTCACTTGGCTGTTCTAAATGTACACGTGATAAGCCACTTCGTTGAGCTATCATTTGTGGCCAGCTCACTTCTGAAAAAGAGCTACATAGTTCAGTGGGCCTTACCTGGTATAATAAAATATTGTTTATATCTGTGTCCCATATCAACATCTCTCTCATTTCACTACAATTATTTCTCACTTGTATCTCTCCCCTCATCTCCATTACACCTCTAGCTTTTGTCCACATTTCTATAATTTCGCTACATCCGTATCTCTTGCTTTTATCTCTTCCATAATCTCATTAGGAGTTTATGAAATGGAAAGGTGGTGGACGGGCTTAAAAATTGGTAATGCTTTTGGCCCCCAATAAGCCAGCACCACCACTGGTATCAGACAATGATGTGAGAATGCACCAAAATGTATTTGGGATTTGTTTTTTGTGAGCCTTGAGATGCTGCCTGCTGAGATTCCCCTGGGTATCAATGTGCACTGAGCCCAATGTGGTGAAATGTGGCCAAGTCTGCCATCTTGTGGCAACGAATTTTAGACCCAAGAAGAACGATAAAGAGCACTGCAGACGAAGCTCAAAAGAGTTTACAAAATAAGGCCGTGACAAAGAAATGTGGCGATGAAAAGTTGAAGATGTAGCTGTTGCTTTGTTGATGTGACCGATATTTATTTTTTCAATTCACATGAGCTTAAACAAATCTCATATTAAAAAAATAGCATGGCACTTATGAGCATATGTTGTAAAAATGCTACGTTACATTGTCTACATTGAAAATGACAAAATGCCAAGCAATAAATGTGGAAATCGTTTTCAAATTGTATTCATTACATGGACTTTAAACATGCTTTTGCTGTTAACAGGTTGATTCGTGTACGATAAAAGAGCTCGGAAGAGAGATTGGAAAATTTTCTTGTTTTTATTTTAAATTGTATTTGCGATAATGAATGAGGATGTTTAGACATCATAGATTATTCAAGCAAAAAAAAACAGTTTAGCGTTTTATGTGAAACCAATGAAGCGTGATAAGAATATTTAAACACAGCCAATATTGAAATTCAGCTCTTGCAGCTGGCATGGTTGGTGAGCGCATTGGAGGATATATTGGTTGAGTTATTATGCTAACTACATGTGCCTATACTGTAGCTAACAAACCATGAAGCTTTAGATGAGTATTTGTAACCAGCTGGAATATGGTTTGCTTTAGAAAGATATTTGCGGTGAACTTCAGGTAAATTATGCATAACAGTTTAATCTTAATGCATTTGTGGATTTAATTTAAAAAGCTAAATCTGCAGTAATGAAAACAAACTGAAATAATTCCACAGGTGACCCGCTGTCATAAACGTAAAATTTTGTAGTTTTAATGCTTTGAATAATAGTGGTAATTAATATAAGCAAAGCCAACATAAACCAATTTCATGCTAAATTTAATTGTAATATATCAGCTGTTTCACATATCCATGCACAAATTAAATGTCTGTCCATCCGTCTACTTGCCTTTGAGACTTATGTAAACCAGCAGCATTGTTTAATCACACAAACGCTGGGTGGGTTTCACCATTCCAGGGCTCATCAGCAGAGTGAGGCATGATAGACATTTCTGCAGGTTTACCAGGTGTTACAGCATGGACCCATGAGCACAGAATCAATGTATAGATGTCCATGCATGTTAATGAGCAGCAATAGATTGTAATATTTTGCCTTAAAAAATCAGGTAAGAATCCAATGAGTGTACTCTGCAATTCTATCGTATTTTTGTATTGTTGTAAAGTGCTGACCCGCCCCTACTGGACATCTGCAAAAAAAGAGCCTTATAGCTCATCGGATTCCTCGAGTCTAAATAAATATTCCGATTCTGAAAGTGATGCATTTTTCTTGCTTTCCTGAACGAAGTGAACGGTATTTATAAAGTCACTGCGCACAGTTACTCTCGAAGCCGGAGTTTGCCCTTCGCACGGTGCTTTCCGAATCACAATCTCATTTTGCCTCTTCGTGTGGCTGTAGGCTGCCAGGACCAGCGGCGCGGCCCTTGGCTGCAGGTGGCGACGCGAAGTCGCGCACGGCGGCGAGCGCGAACCGCCGCAGCCAGAGCTTCAACACTCAGGACAAGGCGAGGGCTGGACCCTGCCCTCCGGCGCCGGCGCACGGTGAGCAGTTGCACTCCACCACCACCACCCCACGTGCACTCGCCGACCGCGCGGGGCGAAGTTACGAGAGTGGTGGTGGTTATTTGAATGAAGGCTCAACGTTTTCAAGCAACGCACTCGGCCGCCGATGCCTTCACGTTGTCTGAAAGCCGTTGCGCGATTTCGTTTGTCGGTATTGGATGTTGCTCATTTGCAAGAGGTGTCATTTTGCTCCAGTTGCATTTGCAATTTGTAAACAGTAACGAGGACAACAAGTGGGAACTCGTATTGAGCACTATGTATGACAGTGTAATTATGTAATAGGTACACATGATAAATGCTGTACCTGCCACCACTTGATCATGTAACCAGAAGATGAGTGCATTTTAAAATAGAAGACTGAATGTCATCCAAGGCAAATTATTTTTACAAAGAGATGTTATTGAAAGGCTTCAGGACTACCATGAAGTATATATCACATTTGTTAATTATTAATTGAATTTCCTTATGCAATTGGTCTGTTTGATCTTTGGCCAATTGTAATGGGGCTACCTTGTGCAAATATTGAGTTATGTCCACACTAATGTGAAATCACAAACCTGGTATTTGCCTTGCAAACAATCAATTATATTATAGGCAGAGCAAGGTAGGCTGACCTTTGTGTGCTTAATTCCAAGGGTAAGGCCTCCCTGCCATTCCATTTGTTTTATTAAAAAAGAAATATTCCTCAAGACGGAAAAAATATATTTTTTCTTCACAATTGTAGTTATTTTTTTCTTTTAGACCACCAAATCTATACCATTTTCTTTAGAACGACATTTGATGTGCCGTGTAGAAATTCGTTTTTTTTAAACTATCCTATGTCCTTATTAATGAACGGAATTGCACATTATTCACGTGGTTATTAATTTAGGTGTTTTGGCCACACTTAGGTGTGGAATGAAAGCTGAAACAGATAGATGGCAGTCAACATTGAGAATCACCTGCTGGGTTGTACATTTATGATCTGAAATGAAACATCTAAAAACAGCTCATTCAGGCTGGTCTGAAAGCAGCAGAATGGTTAAATATTACAACGTGACTATTAATTATTTAGCTTTTTCGCGGTTTATCTGCATAACTCTCTGGTTTGCTTTTTGGGCTGTACCGTAGGGTCGTTCGGTATGACGTCTGATGTTTTTTTCTGCACGTGCTGGGAGCTGAATATCGTGCCTAACACAACACGCGATACAACCCAGTAACACATTGGAGAGCCAAACATGGCAATTTGTTTTGTTTTTTAAAGGAAAACAATTTTCAGCTTCAAATGGCCAAATGCACTCCCATGCAATATTTATTCCACGAGTACGTCTGTAGAGGGTGCACTTGGGGCTCAGAAAGGGGAGCTGTTTGTTGCCATTATGAAAACCCGGCCCAAATTAGTTTGTTTCCTCAAAGGTCCCTGTTGTAATGCCTCAAGATCACGAAAGCAGATTAGAGCCTTTGGTTGGCTGTCACTGGGAGTGCTGTCATTTCGTTGGATTTGGCCCATGTTGGCACGCTTGCAGCGGCCAACTGGCTTGGGAAATGTGGCTGTAACCGAAACCACCACCGAACTAATCCCCTTTGGCTGCTGGTGCACTTTTAGGGCATACTTTATGCTGCCACTAGTGGGCACAGTATTCCCTGTATATACGACTGGTCCTGCCCTCCATTCCCATCACCAACCCACACTGACAAGTATGGTAAAGTAGAAAAGAGAACAATCCGTGACTGGCATGGTGTGGGAAAGCCTTTATCCATGTTTTACACGACCGCAGTTCGAGGGACAGCTTATTCTTTGTTAAAAACCACACACACAAACTTTAGACTGCTAATGGCTTTAGTTGTATTATAAAATCCATAGTTTGTCATTTTCATCGTTTCTGTCTGTGTGTAGATTATCATTCATTATGAATACATCTGGTTTCATGATAAGTTAATCAAGACATCAACAATAATATTAAAGCACAATATATGATCTGTGAATGTGTTTTAGCTGCTCGTCACAGTGTTTATAATATTACAAAATCTGAATATATTTCCATATCTGCATGAAATGGCACAATCGCCTGTATTGGATAGATCTGTAATTTACATTAATTTGAATATGAAAAACATATTTTTAACAGATTTTAATTAGTTATTGAAGCGTTCTTGGTCATTTAATATGGCTAAGTGGGGTGTTGTGAAAATTCTATAAAGTTATACAATTGTATGCAAAATGTTTGCGACTGGCCAACATAATTCAATAAATACTAGCATTGCAGCATGGGATATAAAACCCTTTCCCTGCACACACAATCGTTTACCTACACTGGCGTCAAACAAAGAAAATTAGAATAAAGGTGATTTAATAAAAAAAAAGTATTGGAAGAGGACAAGTAGACAAATATGTATATCCAAAAACGGTCCTTGCCCATAAAATATTGCCTTATCTTATATCCCACTAACAGTTATTATACTGATCAAGTGCTGTGTTGTCATTTTGGCTGTCTGAGAACAATATATGACACATCAGTCATGTGTTCTTTTTGTTTTCATCAGTTTACAAGATAACATACGAGCACTGGGAGCACTTTTGTGAAAGAAAGGGGACACAATATATCAATGTTTGTGGACTGCGAGGCATTGTGATCTTGCTTTTCTCATACCTGAAGATAAATCTCGCCATAAGTCACAATGTTTTGAAAGCCTGTCCAGCGGCTTCAAGTGTTTTTGCTTCCAAAAGCAGTATCTATGATATCTTGTCATCACTTTCATAGCTGACGGGCCTTGGCTTTTTGTTGATGCATTGAAACAGCAGAAGTTGTTTGAGAACATATTTCATTACTGCTTATCGACTAAAGTTTTTATTTCTTGGAGCGTGACCTGTTTCTGGCCGAATAGTGGTAATCTGTTGAATATGACTCTTAAAAAAATAATGTCCACGGTATATTATTGATCGATGTATTTATTCATCCATCATCTCCCATGATCTTTTGACTGCTGGATGAAGGCTCCCTAGTTCATTGCCATTCCTCATGGTCTTGCAATAACTACAATCTATCTCCCTCCTGCGCATGAGTCAACCTCATCACTCCATCTGCGCAGTGGCGGTCATCATCATCTTGGATGCGTTCCTTCCTTTGGCTGTCATTCTGTCACCAACGTGGCCCGGTTGGCCATCATTCCTCGTTACGATGAATCCTGTCCAAGTGTACACTTACTTTTCTTAACAAGCGATATGATCATTAAAATTTGTTGTTCTCTAACCCATATTACAGGTTTTTTTGTCTCTTGGTAATGACCTGAAATCATCTCTCCATGCTTTTATATATATATACAATTCAGCCTTTTCTTTTTAATTTGCTTCGTTGGGTGTTCATGTTTATGGCTATAGGTCACATGTACTGATTTATAACTTTTTTTTCTCGAGGCACATCAGAACGTCGCATTTCATCGTCCATTTATATTTCCCTAAAGTTCTCTAACCTGCTCTTACTCGCCTCTTTTATGTAATAATTTTGATCCTTTCAATAGTAGCTATACAAACTCGTGTATTTAACGTTTGTCTTGTCAGCCACGTATTTTCTATTGTTCAGTGTATTTGTTCTACTTATTTTTCGCTTTATTTACCTTTAGTCCCACTCTGCAGCCTTCTTTTATAAAACGTTTCAATCATTTGCTGCATTTAAATTCCAAATGAGCTTTAAATGCACGCACTTTATACACCTTATAGACTCACGCAGTGCCACGGCAGGGCTCTAGAACTTAAGACAATTTGGCGGGGGTTCACATAGCATGATGGGTGACGTACATCGGCGTCCGCTGTGGGTTCATGAAGAAGTGTTATGCAATATAAATGTTATCACAAATGTAATCTCATGCTGCCCGAATTGGTCTGCTGAGGTGAGAAACTCGGTCTAGTTCACGGTCTCCACTGGACATTCACTTAAGGGACCTCCCAAAATGATTTGATCTCTGTTTGGCCCACAATTGTGAAAATAAACATGTCTTTAGAATGCGCTTGTATAAAGGGCAGTGGGCAAGGGTTAGAATTTATTTAAAATTGGGGTGTCTGATCCCAGCTCGAGCCAAATGTAGTACCAATGTATCATGGGTCAGATAAGATTCACGCCGGCCTATTTATTTTTTATAGATTGTCAGCTGTGCAATCTCGTGATGTAACTGCTATTCTATTTCTATTTTGATCTTGGGATACAGCGGTGAGTGGGGGAGGGGTTGCAAGAGGAGCAGTGGGGAGTCTGCTTCACAGAACAGATCCAGACAATTAATTGGTGAATGCAAATGCTAGATTTGAAGCTTTCGTGACTGCAAGGATTCATACTCTTTGGTTCTTTCGGTAAAGTCACGTAGGTTTTCATTTATTTTATTTTGCCTACGTGACTTTACCGAAAAAATCAAAGAGAATGAAAATGCTGTTATTTATTTTCATAGATAATCAAAATTCTACTGATGTTCTTTCAACATACATTTTGCAAATCCAATATTATTTTGCAAACCTTACATTAGATACATCAATTGAACTGTAATTTATTTAAAATAATATACTTAAAAATACTTAAAAAATTAATGACATATATTACAAAAAAATCACTGCAAGAAACGTATCACATTTAATTTATTTAGGAATGATTTTACTTCAAATATAGTGGCTCTGAAGTCTTGTACATGCGTAGTCACGCACTAAGGCAGTTTAATAATTGTCACTTCACGGGCACTTTTTGATTGGGCGGAATCCTGTGAGTCACGAGCTGGAAGGTGGGTTTTCTTTTGAAATTACACGCTCCACTCGTACGTACTGTGGCAAAGTCCACTTTGAAAGGATTTTAAAAAAAAAACCTTTCACTCAGCAGAGCTGCAGTTGGCTGATTTGTGAGCCAATCGGAGAATGAAGCTAGCCGTTCTATTGCGCAAGCGGTCCTTGTATGATTGTCTCACTTTGCTGCGGTGTGCGAGTCTTCCGCACAGGCTGCGGTTATACTTGCCAATCATGGAGGTAACTGGCACCACACGTTGTTGTGCATAGACACGTGACATCGTTACAGGATGCCCGTCTGCGTTTTGGCTTCAAAGTTGGCAGGGCAGTTCCATGGTCATTTGCAGTTGGACAAAGTTTGTATTGGATCATCTTGCAACAGACATTCAGGGGCATCTCTGCTAATGAACTAAACGGTGGAAGCTGTATGGTAAATGATTGGTGAACCATGGACTTTGGGTTAAAGTGGATTTTTTTTTCAAATGAGAAACGGTTGAGGGGCTGGGTGAGAGATGAGATCACTCTAAAGGCTTCCAGCAAACACTGAGGTACAGTATATCCTTTGAGTTATGCCTTGTTTGGAGATCGCAGGGCTAATTGTAGAAGTTTATACAGCTATTAAGTACATATATATTTTTAAAAAATAGAAATGTACATCTTGACTTGAAGCTTTCGTGACTGTAGGAATTCATATTCTTTGGGTATAGTCACGTGACTTTACCGAAAAACCCAAAGAATAGAAATGTACACTTATAGTGTTGTTACTGTCATTATTACACGTTGTGCTATCTATGCATTCTATGTGCGTGTATTCTTTTTTCTTCAGCTGAGTTGTTGATTCCTGTTTTCGTCCCCCGTTTTTTTTTCAGTACCGATTTGAAATGACCATATATTCTTGTTAACACAAGAGGTTGTCGTGCTTGCTTGTTCTGGCCAGCTTGATAATTGGTTAGCAGGTCTTTGCATTCAGGACAAAGCTGAGTTTTTTGTCGTGTTTGCCTTCTAGTTTTGACCCATTGCCCCCCACTGCGTCTAGGCTTTGTTTGGTCTCTTCTCTGACCCAAGCCTTTGACCTGGCCACGTGGGGTGCCAGGCTTCCCTTTGTAGATAAATCAGGGGCTTTCCGGCTCTTTTGGCAGAAGTGCTTAACAAAAAGAATTTAATTATTGGTGTGAAGGGGATTGTTTTTCTCCACTTAATTATTTTTTTGTTAATTGAATGCACTTTTCTAGAAAATGGTTAATTAGGTTTGGTGCTTTGAGAATTGGCTTTGGAATGCATAATTTTGTACCAACTTGCCTCTCTTACAAAACTTTGAAAACATGTCGTGCATGTATTTCATCTTAATATATTTTTTATGAATACATTATTGATTAATTTAGTTAGAAACAATATTGTGTTTGTTGAATGGAAGGGTTTGCATGAAATTAATCAGTATGGGACCCTTTTTAAATTAAATGGAATATATAATTAGTTTTATTTTTGATGCTGTAATGTTTACAAATATGTTAGAGTCACAATGTTTGAAATAATTTTGAAGGTAATCTTTTTTTGTCTCTTGTACATAAATGTCAAATAATAGTTAAGAACATTAAAAAAGTATAAATGTGCATTATTTTTGCATAAACATTTCGATACAATTGGAGTTTGTTAATTTGCCTTAAAAGTTGACTCAATGGTATTAACACAATCTTCTTTAAACCATACTCTTTGGTTCTTTCGGTAAAGTCACGTAGGTATAAAATTAAATAAATCACGACGTTTCGGGCGTAACACAAGCGTCCGCCATCAGCGTTCCCACCTGATGATGGACGCTTGTGTTGCGCCTGAAACGTCGTGATTTATTTTATACCTATGCAGGGGCGGAGCCAGGATTTTTACTTTTGGGGGGCTGACTTCAATATTCTGAGATATCCAGTGTAATGTTTTCCAATGGGCGCCACAAATGTTTACAACAAATTTTATTGGATTTGAACGCAGAGTTTATTAATAGGTCGGAGCCGCTGATGTGGCTAATAAGTTAGATAAGTTCGAAAGGCTGCCGCCCAAGTAGCCTGCAGGGCAGCACACAAGGTGGCAGCCTGCAGGGCAGCACACAAGGTGTCAGCACAAGGTGGCAGCCTGCAGGGCAGCACACAAGGTGGCAGCCTGCAGGGCAGCACACAAGGTGGCAGCCTGCAGGGCATCACAAGGTGGCAGCCTGCAGGGCAGCACAAGGTGGCAGCCTGCAGGGCAGTACAAGGTGGCAGCCTGCAGCATTTTGCAGCAGCCGGATATCCGGTTATCCCGATTACCGACTTTCCAAAAATTGCAGGGGAGGCTGAGCCCCCCCCAGCCCCCCCTGTACCTATGTGACTTTATGGAAAGAATCAAAGAGTATGGATTCCTGCAGTCACGAAAGCTTCAAATCAAGACTTCTTTAAACTCTTTGCATATACGTGATCACATTACATTTTATATATCAAATAATATCATGAATAGATACTGATTGTCTGTCTCCTGCCCTCCCCCACCCACCTGTGTTTTTAGAGCTAGCTGAAGGTGTATCCCAGCCAGCAGGCATGAATGGCAACGTGCCCTCTCCTGCTGCGGCACAGCCGTCTGCCATCCCGCAGCCTGGTGCCAGTGCTGGCAAGTCCTGGCGAGGAACCAAGGCTGCCGGTGCCAAGCACAGCGCTGCCCCTGGAGGATCAGGTGCCAAGCAGCCCATACCTGCTGTCACGCAGGCTTCCTCCGAGCCCTCCGAGGGCCCTGCGCCAAAAACCGCCGCCGCGCCTGCAAGCTCCAACGGCCAGAAGTCCATGCTGGAGAAGTTCAGGCTCTTCAATTCCAAGAGCGGCTCCAAGGCCACGTCGACACCCGCTGCCGGCTCTGCGGCGGCGTCCGACGGGCCGGATAAACCCGAAGCGACCCCGGCCCCAGTGGAGCAGAATGAAGTGGGAGAAGAGCTGGCTGCAAATGGCCCAAAGATTGCCCTCAAAGGTATTGCACAGAGGACTATTGGCCGTGCGCTGAGCAACAACAAAAAAACGACAATTAAGAGCGGCGAGAAGGAGAAGGGCAAAGTGGCCACTCCTGTTCCAGAGGTAAACAAAGTGACAGAGCCAGATTGTAGAGTAGACACTGTGCCCGAATCGTCAAAAAAGTCCTCCAAAATCGCCAGCCTCATCCCAAAGGGAGGAAAGTCAGGTCAGGCAGCAGCAGGCAGCGCAGTCTGCAAGAAGGAACCCTCGGCTGGCCCGGGGCCGGCGTCCACTGGGATCCCCAAGCCGGGCTCCAAGCTCGCGGGCGCAAAGTCCGCGGGCGGCGCAGGCAAAGAGGGCGAGCGACTGCGCGCCAGCAAGAGTGGCACGCACCTGCAGCAACACCTGCAGCCGGCGGCCGAGAGTCGCACTTCAAGCTCCACCAGCTTGGCGTCGTCCGAGGGAGGCAGGGCGGCCGCCGTGCCCTGTGGCCCTCAGTCGCAAGCGCCGCAGCTCCAACAGCCATTGCCACCCGCCGCCAGCGCCGCCGCCGCCGTCGCCGTCGCCGCCGCCGCCGCCGCCGCCGCCACGACAGCCGCCCTTACGTCGCCATCTTCTGCCGTCAGCCCGGCGACGGTCTCCATGACAACCAGCACCACGCAGACGACGGGAATCAGCACCGTCGGGGTGCAGCTGCCTCATCCCCAGCAGCAGTACAGCCACCCAAACACGGCCACGGTCGCTCCCTTCATGTACCGGTACAGTGCGGCCTTGGGAAGGCTCGAGCCCTGTAGCGAACGATTAACAATCTTTCTTTGGGCACGTCTTTCTAAAAATGTGTTTCAATTTTCACGTGTAACTTTAACGGCGTAGGCCTTTGAAAAATGCAACCATACCAAATCAGGCACTTATCTCCCCCAAGACCTGCACTTGATGATTTTTTAAAAAACACTTTGTAAGTATATATTTTTTTTAATATGTACATGAAAAAAAAATGCGTTACCTCAATTGTGATATTTAATGTTCGCGTATGTATATTACCTGTTAGCGCTGTACCAATGATTACAATTTGCTAACACAATGTAAATACATAGGACTGCCTTCTTATTAATTAGGCCACAATCTTATTACGTTTCGTTTGTTAGCCATTGATAAGCTAAATAAAATAAAATCGGTGATGCGTTTTCGGGTTGTGCCGCGCGTTGCTCGGCATGATGTCTGAAATTTTGCTCCATGTGCCTGGGAACTTCTTCGGGCAATGAATAAGTTCCCAAAGAAGCGTACCAAGTGAGCTATAACCGCACAAAATGCAACTGCGAAAAAATGTTGGTATGATTTCTGTGCCTCAGGACCCACACGGACTGCGACGGAAATGTGCCCCTGGTCATGGAGGCTGGACAGAACCTGGGCGCTCACTCGGACCCGATCCTGTTCAGCAAGTCCGCACAGCAGCCTTGCGTCGACGACCTGCCTGGTAAAGCCACTGCGGCTCTTGTTTGTTTGTGCTCCCAGTGATTGTATAGCTATGCTTTGTTTTTGCCACTTTCTCTTGGCCTTATGCAGTGCGATTAAGCCCACTTTGAATAAAATGGGATTCATTTAGGGCAGAGCTGATTCATAAAAAAAAAATTAGCTTGCATGTCTGGTCAGCTTTGTTGATTTTTTTTTTTGCCACTTCATGACTAAAAAATTTTCTGAATGATATGAGAAAAACGCAATGGCGTATGTAATTATTTAAAATAAAACTATAAATACAATAGTATACGTCAACTAACATGTATAACAATATTTATGAATAATTCAACAGCTGTGCAAATCTTGATTTTAATGTATATACTATACATTTTATGCTAAAACAACTTTTCTAGGACATGGCGGAATTGTTACCCACAAGGCATTTCAGTTTTTTTTAAATTTTGGTATAGCCCTGTGAGCCATTTGGCTCTTGAATCGGGTGCAACCACAACAAACTAAAAAAACAAAAACACGAACAAGAAAAACATCTTAAAGTGACTATGTGTGACTGTGCAAACAGAAAATCCATGAAAAAAGCAGCAAAATATTCCTGAAAAAGCACCGTACACCAATGCTGTGTGCAAAAAATCCCAGTGGGATGCAAGTCAAACAACAACAACAACAACCACAAGAAAACTTAGATTAAGGCCATAAGTCTAACTCCGTACTACAACAAAACAAACATGTCCAAAACAAAAACTTTTCGAAATCACCAAAAAATAAAGCCATAATTGCAACGTAACAGTGATCACAGGGACCGTGACCAAATTTTTATAATAAACTACATAAATAACATGTAACACCAAATCCTAGAGCCATAGCTGGCTGCATGAGTTACTCCACAACAACAGAAGCATCAGAGTATCAAATTTTTCAATGCACCTTTAAGATCAGCACGCTAAATCAAAATACAGATTATACTTTGCAGCGTCATCCGGAGCGAAACATTTTATTTTATTTTACGCCAATGAATAGCAGTGGCAGCTAGGGGTGTACAACTCCTCTAGAGCAGTTTTGAGAGAAGATCTCATTGGTAGCGATTCAAGTTGCAGTTTATTGGCAGTAGCATTCCAGACCCTTGGGGCATCAATAGCAAAGGCCCTTCCTCCAGTTTTTGTACGACAATAGGGAATGTGAAGCTGGTAAATGAGCGAAGATCTGAGGTCAAATTTGTTCTTTGAAACAGAGAGGAGATCCAGCAGGTAGTCTGCAGATTTTTGTAAGTACATCGTGAATAAATAAGATCTGGTGCACAAGCTGTCGAACATTAAGATATGTTAAGTTTGACCCAATGTAGAGATCACAGTGGTGAGTCCTATATGGGCAGTTCAATGTAAATCTTAAGGCCGAGTGATAGATGGAATCAAGCTTCTTCAGTACAGTACTTGGGGCTGATTTATATACGATGTCACAGTAGTCAAGTAGAGGCAGTATGGTAGCTTTTATCAATTCCAAACGGAACATTGGGGGGAAGCAGTGCTTGTGTCGATACAGAAAACCAATTTTTATTTTTGTCTTTTTACCAATATAATCAATATGATCTTCAAAATTCAGTTTTGAATCCAGGATGACCCAAGATACTTATAGATCTTGACTTGCTATATTTGATAATTATTTAAGGAATGTAATTGGGGAAAAATAACTTCCTGCTTTAGTCCTTTTGAGAAGTATAGCACCTTGGTTTTGGAGGTATTCAGAACTAGTTTAAGAGCAACTAGCTGATGTTGTGGTTTGTTGAAATCACCCTGTAGCTTAGCAAGGCATAGTGTTGTGGTGGAGTAAAATTAGTAACCACGGAAGCAATTACAAGAATCCAAACGCATAACAATACATGCTTGCATTGTGGACTATAACCGCTCAAAATATATTTAGTATCTCGGGAATACATATATATAATAAAATCTACCCACAAGCCTTCTACCTACTATTAATACTTTTATAATTAACACATTTCCAGATTGTCTTTTTCGATGTTTTTCCCCCCCTTTGCAAGGGTTTGTGCCATCCTTTCCAACATCCATTGAGGCCAATTATTTTGTGTTTCTACTGTGGCAGCGGAATTTGGTATTTCCTAAGTAAAAAAAATAACATTGCACAGATGAGTCAATGAGTTAATGAGGACCAAAATAGACATTGTTTGTTCCACTACTGTTTTCTTGTTTACTTTGCGATTGAAGTCAAGATTTAAGAGACAAGGGATTAGGCCCAAAAGCTTTAATTGTGGTTAGACAATGGCGTTGGGAGACAACACGTGCACATTGAAGATTACAAAAGGGGGAAGGAGAGTGATAGCTCATTTACAGAAAAAAGCTTCGGTTAATTCACATTTAAATTGGACTGCCTCGATAAGAATGTATAGGGAATCTGTAAAGTGGCATTGCTGGTTTTAGCAATTGCCAGTCAGGGACAGCCGATTGAGAGCGTTGTTTCGGTTCCCATTTAAATGTATTTAGTGACGTTTCTCAGGCTGGACCTTTATCAAATTGGGGAGGCTTCAACAACAATACACTTCAAGAAAAAGTTATATGAAAATTTTTATTATAATTCATCAGTTCTAACAGTGAAGCCATTGTGTTTTGCATTGGAAATTCCAGTGTGATGTTTCTGCTCAAGGCACAGCTGCAGACTGTCGGGCTATCCTGTAGATACCCATACGGCAGAAGAGCAAAGCAGCCCCATCTGGCGACTAGTCTGCGCATGACATGCGCATGACATGCGCAGAGTAGTCGCTAATGGACTCGGCGTCGGTAGCAGTCGATGGGCGGTCGTAGATACGAGTTTTGGTCGTTACTGTGGGAGTCTTAGTGACTATAAGAAAGGTCGCAAAAGCGGAAGGTCGCAAAAGTGGGAGGTTGCAAGTCGAGCCGTTGTAAGTCAGGGGCCACCTGTAATTACTTTATAATTTTTGCCATATATTCATTATGAATGCATCACAATCCATTGTTGTACTGTACATCCATGCTCCCACATCTACGTTACCTTTACCAACCTGCATTGAGCAGCTTAGTGAAATGTGGTCAAAATAACTCATCCAGCGGTGCATTGACAATGGACTTTACACGTATACGTACGGCAAGTTACAAGCTGCCTTGGCTTCTGCGTGGAGGAGACATGGGATGTGCTGCTCTGATGTCGATAGTAGGGGAGGATGCCGAGACTCGGAGAATGAGAACCGTGAAGAACATCGCCGACTTGCGCCAGAACTTGGAGGAGACGATGTCAAACCTGCGGGGAACGCAGATCACTCACAGGTTACTTGCTGCGCACCGGTTCAATGTATATCAACGAATCCCCTTTGTAATTTTTTCTTCCTAACATCGGCCGGTCACAAATTCGTCGTCGTCCACGACTACGATCGTGGCAGTCACGTCACCGCCCTGCCTACGTTTACCGTTCCCCGCAGCACGCTGGAGACGACTTTCGACGGCAACGTGACGACGGAGGTGAGCGGCCGCGGGCTGCTGGGCATGGGCGGGCGTGCGGCCGCCCAGACGCCTCTCTCCTGGCGACTGGCGCAGGCCAGCAGCCCGCGCCTGCAGGCCGGCGACGCCCCGTCCCCTCTGGGCAATGGCTACCCACCCCGCGCCACCGCCTCCGGTCGCTTCGTGCAGCAGGAAGCCGTCGCGGCGGCGGCGGCGGCGGCTTCTGGAGGCGGCGGCGCACCCGCAGGGCGCTACCTGCGCAGGGCGGTGCCGGGCCGTGGGGCGGGCTGCGGCCAGGCCGGCGATGGCTCTGAGCGAGCGGACGGCGAGATGTGCGGCATGGGCGCCGACGCGGCCGGCTACATGAGCGACGGCGACGTGCTGGGAAAGAATCTCCGCAGCGAGGACGTGGCGAGCGGGTACGATACATTTGCCAGCCTTTCTTTGGTTATTTTTTGGGGCGTTTGCAGGCTAATTGTCTACGTTAAGCAGAATTCAGGGACTGTGCTGGCAGTGGTGAACCAGTACAAATAACAAATAACTGGACTCACCACCAACCTCTGTCATTGACTCTGAGTTGTGCACTGAAGAATCATTCAGTGCCTGAATAACAAGCTTATGTTGTTCTGTATTGCTCTACTGCCATCTCCTGCCCATCACACAATCCCCACCAGCAGTTATTCTCCAGCAGTCTACCAACAAACTATTAACCAGTCTGAGGATTGCTTGGCTTCTGAAATCCGCTGACATCGGGTGCTTCCGGGAGATCTGGTCTTCGGCAATGTCAGGTTACGTGAGGTCTTGGAATAGATTTTAATTAGTGACGGTATTCCATTTGAAGTTAATTACATTAGCCGTGATGTTGCTTCATGTGCAATTTAAACTAACCCTGCTAAATGTGCTGAGGAGGTTACATATTTTTCTATCCCCAACACATTTATTCTAAGATGAGATATAAATGACTTTGAGTAAAAAAGATACATCTCTAGATTAGCAGAATATGAGCTATTACAAAAAAAAATTAAAATATGGAAGAATCCTATGGCATTCCTGTGTAAGTGTAATTTAATAATTATGTTCCCTTATAATTAATTTAAGTGACACTTCATCAAATGCCATTGTCTATCCACTGCTGGATGAAGGTCTCCCCGTTCCGTTACTCCACAATCCACAATGCATCTCACTCCTGGATTGGAATTGATCTCATCACTTCATTTTTGCAATAGTTTTTATCTTAGATGATGTCTCTAAGTTAGATTATTCCCTAATCTATGCATTGTCTCTTTCTGTCTCTCAGTGTGATTTCAAGCATGCATCTCTCCTTTAAGATGTTTGTTTCATTTGTTGCGTTGATGTTTCTGATCCATTTCTCAGCAATATGCACTGTTTGAAAACTTTGTTCTTCAGGCACATTAGGGTGTTGCTTTTCTTCATCATGTTCAGCTTTCCAAAGGCACTCAATTAATACTTGAAAGCAAATATATGATTTGATGAATATTTGGCTAAATTTCTACTTTTGCTGTAAACCTGACTTTAGTATGTAATATTGACAGTGGCAAGTTGCCGTATTCCCTGCTGAGGCATCTTTGGTGCAAATGTGCACACGAGTTTATTAAATAATTTGCGAAACAGCTGAAATGCCACAAAATGTAAATGGTATTGGTAGAAACAAAGATTAAATTAATGTTTAAATATCCATTAGCTGAACGCAAACAAAATGAAATATTCAGCATCGTCTTTCGGAACATTATATTAGAGTCGTTTTGGCTGAGTAATAGTAATCATAGGTGTTGATGTTTCATCAAAATATACTACATTTTAATGTGTTTTAAATACCGTATGCCGGATTCATTGGTGTTGAATAATATAAAACATTCTCTCGGTTTTGTATTTGTTTTTGAAATTTCATAAACAAATTAATTTGAACAGAATAATTCACGACATATTACATTTTACGATCAGTGGTGGTGTCTGTGCACGCGGTGAATATTTATGTTATTTCATCCCGTGAATATCTGCTCCAGTGAATGTGTGATGAAAGAACAAGTGGCAGAGGTAATGAGCAGCTTTTGAAAATTAGCTGATCAGCTGAAGTTAAATTAGGAACTCGGGGCAAGCTGCTATGATCTACCTTCGGCGTGCAGCCTTGCGACTGTACTGCCATAACATTATCTTGGCGTGCATCTTTTAGGTCTTCAAAAGCTGAAATCTCTGTTAGGTCTTCCTCTCTTTCCGGTTCCTTCCATTTTTCCAAACAACACACTTTGAATTTTTCTTGTTGTTGTCCATCCTAAATATATGTGTCCACTTAGTGCCAGTTTCCTTCTCAAACATGATCCGGTTTGGATCATGCCTGCCGTGTTGTGCAGCATGATCATCTTAATGTCACGCATGTTTCTATGAAATGGAAGCCATTGACCCTTTGCTCAACCATTCTGTCACTAATCCCCTGCGCCCGGTCAGCTGATACGTTTATTATTAGTGGCAGTGGGTCACTGGAGGGCTTCACGTACCAATAACTTATCTAAGGCTCAGCACAGCCATTTTGCTTGCCTTGTTAATGTATTATTGTTCTTATGTATGTCAAATACTGAAATAAAGTATTTTATACGTATTAAAGTAATACCATCTAAAGCTATTTCATGTTTATTCAGTGAAGGACACATTGGAAAACGTCTGCTGAGAGATGCAAATTAAATAAACTATCCATTTGGATAATTTTATTAAAGATCTTTTTATTGTATACCTATATAACAACTGCCAATTAAAATTTCCGAGCAAGTTGTTGTACCTGATATATATTTTAACTTAGAGGCAATGTCAAGTTTACAGGCTTGTGCGGTCCTCATTTGGAGAACTCTTTCAAATCTAAATTATTAATTTTATGTTTCTAAATTGTCAAATCTTGGGCCATTACACTGAGACACAATGACGTTCTCTTCCAAACGATGCAACGGGGATCGCCGTGGCATATTTTATAGCAGACAGCACGCTTTGAAAATTATCGGTAGTGCTAGATTTCAACCTTTGAGCCCACGCATGATGCCTCAGTGGCAAGCTTGCTGACCACTTCGCTTTTTCCCCCACCATGAAGTGATCTCTTACACTTTCGTTGACTAAATATATGGAGCTGTTTGCATGTCAGGCCATTCATTTGCTGCTAGAATGCCTCATGACGAGCCCTGTACAGTGGACTGTCACCACATACAGACAGGAATGTGGCAGCCCTGTGGAATATCTACAGCACTGCAGCAGATCCCATAAATTAAAGCTTCACTGGCTGAGTGAACATAGTGAATACAGCTGCAAATATCATATATTTCAATTGTAATAGATTTCATATTTATACTCTATTTTTTATCACGTGTCTCACACTTAAATAGCAACTACTCTTCCATATGAATGACTGAATTGTAAGCGCTTATGCATTGGTGAATACGTTGGTGAATAGTCATTGCACAAGGTAAAAACAATACTTCTGTGGCGAATGCCAAACGTTTATTGAGGGATGTGCTTCGTACAGCTGCATTCATAACACTGACAGTTACTTCAGGAAATTGTTAGACCGTGGGCTTGCTTGAAAGCATATGTAATCGTTTATATCGACACATGAGGGACCTACAAGATAATGAGGATCAGAATCAGAATCTTTATTTAGACTGGAGGAATCTTATGAGCTATCTAGCTCTTTTTCACAGATGTCCAGTATATGGGCAGGTCAGAAAGTTACGACAGAAAACAATACCAAGTCACTTAATATAAACATATAATTCATTTGCTTGGTTCTTTCGGTAAAGTCACGTAGAAGAGAAACAATGAAATAATACAAATATAAATCAAAATATAATTCATTGTTTACGTCCAATTTAGCAAGATTGTGCAAGGCAGCAAAAAAACCAACAAAGCGGTCCCAGACCGCACTAAATTATCGCACACCTCCGATTAGCACGGTCGGCTACGTACGGTGCGAAAGACGTTCAACCAACGTACACACGTACATAAATGTCCCAAATATACATTCAGCTGTACGGCTCTCATCATTTGAGTAACCTATTTTGAACACATTGCCGCGGTAGCGTTTGGCAGACGTAGCAGTTTGGGTTGCAGATATGTCCAAACATGCTGCCCCCAATTTTAAAAAATACAACCCAAGCCAGATGCCAGGCCCACTTTCCTGTCTGTCTCCCTCCCCAAATCCCAGGGATGGATATCTGTCCAGCTCAGTGGCATGGGGGGGGGGGGGGGGTCTCATGAAAACAAACCATGTTCACCTCGTCGATGACAGACCGTCCTGTGGGGCTGTTGGGCATATCTCTATTTGGAAGAGGAATTTTGGATGGTTGAATGTTTAACATTTCCCTGGCGGCTCAGCAGTGTCTAGTCCAGTCAAACCGAACGGGGGGGGGGGGGGGGGGGGCTCAGCTCTACCCCTTTATTCCCAATCACTTCTTCCTTTCGGTTCGTGAAATTCAATAATGTTTCGCGGGTAAGTTTGCATTTTTTTAATGCTAAATTCAGTTAAATGTTGTAGAACCTTGTTTTATTGTGCTGCATCATTCCATTGTGAGTATTGATTCACAGTTTGGGTTCTATTCAGCTGATGATTAATATTGGTGATGTTGTGAACGCATAGATAATTACAGATATATTATCGCGTGGCAAGAGGCATAGTTTCCTTAAAAGAACAAAAGCATCTTCAAAATTGTAATTGCAGCAATTGCCATTATTGATGTGACATAATATTATTTGTGAACCATTTTCTCTTGAAATTTTCCAAACGAATAATGGGGGGGGGGGGGAATTTGTTATTGTTTTACATTGTTAAGATTAAGTGTATTTGTAGAAGAGCATTCATGTATAAAGTCACGAAATGTACTTATTTATTTTAAAATACGTGGACTGTATAGGGATAAGCATTTGTCTTTAACGACACGATAGAAATACACACCCACATACACAGATATTAAGAAATGACATAACACCTTTGCCATGTTGACTCTAGATAACAGAACTTTTGGACCGTAATGATACTTATATGACCGCATTTTAAACAGGGCCCAGTTGGTCTGTGCAGTTATAGGATAATGGGAATGTGTTTCATGTATGAAATAGAACACGGTTTAAAAGTTGAGCACTGAAAAATCTGCATTCTCCTCTTTACGTTAAACCAAAAACAATATGGTTGCTGTTTCATGTCTTGCCTCACCCCATCTCCTTCAGCCTTGGTAAAGTTTTAATCATACCACCGGGATGTTTTTTCTAGGGCTTGTTTGGGTGGGAGATGTCCAAATAGAGGATCAAAGCAAAAGAGAGATAGGAACCAAACCCTTTCTCTGGCCTGAAGATTTATTGCTTGGGAGGTCATGCCTTTATTACGGGAAGAATGTCTTTGTTATCCTGCCTAGAGGTTGTAATAATTTTCCAGAAGCACTGAGCGGTGTAGCTTACTTATACAGGTGTTGGTGGTTAAGCTTGAGATATATTGGATGAGCATTTTATATTTTAGCAACTAGATTCTGTGTTGTGCCTTTGCTTTAGTTTATCAGTGGTTTCAAGGCAAGGGGCTATTGCACATGATACTGTATAGCCCATTTGTCAATCCGCTGCTGGCAGCGCACGAGTGTACCAAATTCGAATGCGTGGTTTCGCGTGGCACGCAATTTTACGTTTCGTCAATACCGATACATTAATCAGTGACCAACATGTGCGTACAAGACTATATTTTTTTATTCTGAGTGACTGCCACGCTTCAACGAGTTTACTTTTTGTGCATGATTAGCACACTGCTTCTATGCTACTGTTTGGATAATTGGAGCTGCTTAACCCCTCATGACACACTGTGACCTCCAAAGGACCGTGGCAAATTTGTTTCCACCTCTGGAGACAACTTAACTGATAGAAATTGTGTGTCCTGAACACAGCTTTGGGATCTCGGATCATTTGTTCACATTGTCGGTGTGGCAAGTGGGAATGTGAGCTCTCGGACAATGAGAGGTTGTCTGGTCACTGCTGGAAGCCAGGGTAAAAATGCGCATTGTTTAGGTATTGTAAGTGGCCTTTTTTAATGAATTCAGACGTACTTTTTTTTTCACCGCGATGTAACAATCCATCTAGAACCTACAAATAAACTAATTTAATTATGCTCCATCTATTCGGTGGCCATAATTTGATAATTGTTCTATTGCTTTTCTGCCACTCGATCGCTATTCTTGACCATCGGCCATTGTTATGCTTGTTGAACTTCTTTCGCACCGAATGTAGACAAACATAGAGGTACGGGGCGGGGGACAAAAAACTAAAAACAAAAAGCAGTTGTAAAGAAAATCGTTTTTAATCTACATTTGAAAGTGCGTAGCTCCAATGGCTTCCTAATATATATAAAAAAAACGAAGAGCATTCCAGACTGCCGCAGAAGCGCATCAAAAAGTGTGTGATGCAGGAGTGTCTGTCTTTCATTACTCCCTCCAGCACAGTGTCCTGCTGAAGCTGGCAAACTCTCTTACATTCTCTTATCCATGTGTTCTCTTTATGTCCTCAATGTAATTCCAAGGATGCATCTTTTTGGGTGTTTTCGTTTTTTGTTCCATTACTTCCCTTCCCCCCAAGTAGTGGCAATGCGTGTTATGAAACCAGTATTGCAATCACATTAGAAGGATGATTTATAATTTTTTGTATTTTATTGATTAGAATGCTCTGCTACAGGACATCGCACATTTTTATACAGTATTATCATGTTTTGCACTGACGGGGCCTCGCTATCTAGAAAGAGTGATTTTACCAATAACATCTGCCAAACCAGCAGTATTATTTTTTAACACGCCTGACTGCTATTGAGACGCAGAAGGTCCATACTCATCCAGAGGCTGGTAAACTAGCAAAAATATTATACTTTTTTATGGAGATATGGAGGTCTACTTATTTATATTATTAACCAGTGCCATAGGTGATATGTGTTTGTACTACAACAAGTTGATGATATACTGTCAGTGCAGATCTTAAAGGTCATGTGTCTACTGTGCAGCAGCTGTGGGTAAAAAGTGTCGGTGAGGTGTGGTGCCAGGAGTGGCTTTGGCCCTGATGATATCTTGATCGATGTGGAATTGACCAGAACCCACTTGTGTAGACAGTTAGCAAATAGCAAAAAAATGAATACCATTATATTCAAACTGCAATCAAGACATACATTAAACGTGTGGTGTGGCATCTGGCCTCTGGAGCTTACGCGTGTCCGTCCCTCCTTTGCAGCTACATGACGGACGGTGGCTTGAGCCTGTACACACGGCGACTGAATCGGGTGCCGGACGGGCTGACGGTCGTGCGTGAAGCCATGCAGCGCGGCGTGCCCCTGGCCGTGGGAGACGCAGACAGGTACGTGGTGCCCTGTCTGCCGAGGCACCGAGAGTGATGGTGGCCCCTCGTTAGGGGCTGGTGGGGCTGGGCTCCACTAGTGAAATGACAAAAACTTACCTGCTCATTATAGAGATTATGAACTCCACACACCCCCCTCCCTCCCCATCTCTTCTCCTCACTTTCCCCGCACGTCGCCTACCCCCGTGGGCTTCCATACCCCACCGATATATTTATCCGGCCAGCACTGGGTCAACCAACACTGGGTATGAATAAAATGTGGTCACCTGAACACAGCTGCTTTCTTTGCATGCCAACATACTCCTTATGGCATGCCAGCTTCCCTGAATATTTTTTTTACCGTTTGCCTATTAAAAACAAATGCATCTGACTGGGTGGCACATCGGTAGAACCCTTGGCTTGTAGTTGGAAGGCTACCAGTTCAAATCCTAGTCGTTGACTCAGCTCATCATCCATCCTAGGTCAATGAAATGAGTCCCACTCTGTGGGCAAGTCCACAGTGGTTGTCCTATGGAACAACTCATCCCCACCATAGGAATGTGGAATATCCATCAGTGGCTGAGGGATATAGTAAACAAGAGGTGAGTGCCACCCCATGCAAAATTGGTTGGGAAATTTCAAGTATTTAGTGGCATTTTTGTGCAATGACAATTCCAGTTAGGATTTCTAGCAGTTACTGTCACCCTGCTGAAAGTAGCATTTTGGCTGAGGGATAGTATGTTATTGTCTAGTACAGAGATAATTCTGTACAATATATGTGCATATGTCAATATGTATTGACATCATCTTATACATTGCTACAGAATACATCATGCAGCATAGTTTTAGACACGTGACGAACAGAAAGGAATGTATCATGGGACCTTTTTGCCAGTATCAAAGTATGGTGAACATGCAAACAAACAGGGCATGTTTGCTTGAATGTTCACCACAAGTACGTGTGGTTAATGCAGACTTGATTCCTTGCAAAATGTTTATATTTGGTGTTTGAGCAGCTTAACACCTACTGTTTTATTGCCAGAAAGGGTGAAACCTATTCTTATTTTTCATGCGAAAGGAATGCATCTATGCGAAGTAGTGTTGACTGTCACAATTCTGCCACAACGTGATCGTGCATGTCACGATGTCAGCACGCAGTTTTGTTGTGGGTCCCTGTGCGCTCCACGTTTTTTGTGACTTTTTGTGGGTCTAGAATAATGGACTTAAACGCTGTACGTATGTGCTTTACATATGAAAATTGGATTTACAGTAATTAACACAAGGTGGCAGCATTAGTATGGATTTATGGAGATGATGGCCAAACCCTGCATGCAACACACTGACTAAATATATAATATTTTACATAAATATGCCATTAAGCGCAAGAGGTGCAGTTTTCAATGCAGGCGTAAGTGAAAATGTTTTGTTCAGACACTCGTATCTAGAAACTAATATTGCTAGCACATGCATTGAACATTTGCAATGAACTATATTTGTGAAACCTGGCCATAATGCCAATCAGCATTCAAGATATATATCTTTGAATAATTGCACACCTGCATGAAGAGTAAATCAATTCATAAGCTGACAGTCCTACCCATAATAATAATTGTAAAAAATTAGCGTGTATCTGTTCACGGAAAGGAGAGACAATTTCCAGTCGTTACTCGAAGACGTTGAGCCAGGCCCCTGGGTTCCTCGTGAGCCCAACGAAACAGATGGAGCCTTCAGCTGTCTCTTTAAAAGTGGTGGTGAATTTTCTGCTGCTGCTGTGTGCTTGTATCAGGATGCAATTCCAAATCATTGGAGCAGCCACAGAGAAACGGCGCTCTGCCAGGACCATCTTGGCTCGGGGTGGGGAGGGGGACAGTGAGCAAGTTGAGGGATGAGGTCGTTGAGGAGGACAGCCAGATATTGTGGAAGGCCATGGATTAGAGGTGTGTCAGTGGTGAGTAGGAGCGCAAATAGAGCCAGCGGAAGGAACTTGCTTGGGAAGTTATCAGAAGGATAGGTTGGGTGGGTAAAGATGGGAATATGTAGGAGTGAGATGGGTTCCAGCGACAAAAGAGTAAAGGAAAGTGATGTCAGTAAGGACATATTCTGATAGACCATGTGGACTAAAAACGCATTGATTGATAATAATTGTGCTTTATATTGCGTCATTCCTTTTCAAAATGCATTTCACAACGCTGCACAATCCACAAATGCGGAAGTGTGTGTTAATGAACATCTTTTCAGCGAATGAATGTTTGTTTATACATGTGGAAATAAACCGGAGCACACGGAGAAAACCTACAGGTGGAAGGGGAGGGGGGCAACACTATTCCATACAGATGGAACAGATGGAGTTTATTCCACGCTTTGCTGTCCCACATTCTCCTGGCAAGCCAGGGGAAGCGATTTTCGCAACATTTGCGTATCCACTTAGCCTGCCCTCCACACGGTGCTTGATTACAGGCGTGCATTGATAATGACACACATTCATTTGTTGAAGACAGGTCAAATATGGAGAGTAGTTTTAATAATTGAAGTGTGTCATGAATGGGTTAAAACCATTGCAAAGTAACAGCCAAATGTTGCTCTGCAGATAAAGGATGTCTTGTCAGTGTGGGAGTTTGGTGCGAGATGTAACTATGACTAATTTTGTTAGCACTGCAAGAGTTTAAAAATGATGTATTAGTCATGTCTGATGCAAAGAAGGTAAAGAATTATATGAGCAGAAAAATGGCATTTAACATGTGAAAGTTGAGCACCGTGTCAACAGGAATAAGCAGGAGAAAATTTGGAAATATACGCGGCACACAAAACATTAAACAGTTAATAATAAAATGTTTTCACAAATAGCGGCGATTCATGGCCATTACTCTTTGATGTTTCTGCCCAGGTCAGTGTCTTGCCATGGTGCCTGATGAAAATAACGTTTTAGTTCAACGTGTATTGGATCTTTGTGTTCAGGGATTGCAGCTGAAATTACTTTGGTTTATTCCCCATGTAACATTTGTGTGTTCCATTTGGATGTGGCCACAGCTGCGATTTAAACGTGTGACCTTGGAAATCACAGCGGTTTATTTGTAAATTAATTTATGTTTTCTCTGTCCCCCCCACTCCCCTTCCCCATTATTATTGTCCTGGTGATCTTAAAGGAAATTACATATAAAACTGTTCGTAAGAGAATTCGTGTAATTTAAATTGGCTACTCGACTTATACATTTGCGTGGGGGTGATAGGTTGCTCGGGGATAGAATGGAGACAGATTGGCATAGTATGAAAATAAAAGATAAAGCAAATAAATATCAGCATTCCTTTGTAACAATTAAACTGGCATGGATTATTCGAGAGTATATTATCAAAACGATATTTTTATTAAGTTCTATAGTCCTCAAGTATATTTCGGAATTTCTAGCATATATGAATGATTCCCTTGTATATACACTTAAATACATATCAGAGATGTATCCAACATTTGTCCATATTTACTTGAATGTGCAATTCCAATACTATTTTTGTGGAGACAATTTGAATTCCATGTGAGCCGTTTTCTTTTTTAGCATTACACATTTCCCTTCAGCTGTGCCACAAGATAATCTTTCCACAGGAACATGTGGTACGAGTTGCAGCATCTCTTTCCACCTCCAAGACTTATGTGAGGTCCTTTTGGTGTGAAGTGATGTCATTGGCATTTTAGCGTGCATAAGGGCATGTGGTCCCTTGGCTGTGCCTAAAATGACTCGAGCATAGTTCGTGAATTCCTTTCTCATGCAGTTGTCCAAACAAGTGAAGTCGTGGTTATTCAGCTGGAGTTAAAACCAGGATGATTAAATAAGCAATGTCATCAACGTGCATGTAATCAATCACGGCCCCGCCCTTAGGCCCTTGGGTTGGCCCTGATGGTGTTTGCCTGACCTTGTGGTGGTCCAAGTGGCAAACCAGGGCCTAGACTCTAGCTCTCAGACAGCAATTGGTGAGTGGCCTTGCAAGCGTCGTCATCCTTTCAGGGCGATGATATTGAGTTATTGATTGACTAATTTATTAGCTGATATGATTAGTCACTATTATAACCAAGGTCACAAGTAAGTATATGATCCATCTTTTTCAGATTTTTTTTATTTAGACCACTTTGGAAATGCTTAGGTGCACGTCATGTAGTGTGTATTTAAAGTTCAATTTGTAAGTAAGGTTTGGACATTGTGTTTTTTGATATACTACAGCTCATGGAATTTCCATTTGAACGGTTGAAATGACCTTGGTTTTCAAACGCAGCTGGTTAGAAGAAGTTCTTCTGAAATTCCCATCAGTATGCATGAGGGTTTGCTTTTATTAAACATCCATATAATTTACATTTTTCGTATTTTAATTATGAATATTAGATCAATGCAGCAGCTTACTTTTTTGTTTCTGATATGGAAGCTTTCTCAATGTTGGGTGTATATATTTTTGAGATGTTTGCAGAGATTTGTGCAGCATTTTATGCTGGTAAGAAAAAAAATCACCCACTCCGTTTATGGTGAAGCACACTGGGACATCTTTGTGATTGATATTCTTCACGAGGCAGCGTCTGGCTATTGCCACCGAATGTGTAGTTTCAGATTATAATGGCTGTTCTCAAGGTTTTGTTTATTTCATTTTCAATGTTTTAATGGCCTTGGGCTTGTATTTAAAAAGGCAGATACTGCGAGAGCCCCTGAGCATGTCTGTTAAAACTCATCACCAACAAAGTTAAATTCATTGTCATATGTGGAAAATTCTGATATTAAAAATCCACCTTTTCTGAAAAGTTGGAAAAATAATTTTAAAGATAATGAGAAAAAAATTCTGATATTCTTTTTGTTCCATGTATATCCTGTGCATTGTTTTGTTCGAATAAAAATGTTTAGCTATTTAATGTGGTGTTAACTGCACAGTTAAACTGTAGCTGGGTGTATTAATGCCACTACATTCTATTTTGGGGGAATGTTATCAAGCTGCTATTCATATATATTCTTATTTCTTGATGATACTTTGTACATATTTAACAATTCATT